TCCCTCCCTCCCTCCATTCCACTTCCTCTAAAAAAAATCAATGGAAAAATATCCTACAGTGAGGATTAACCACCATATATATATATATATATATATATAGCAAATGGGAGCCATTGCAATATGTTTGAAAATAGTTTTTAGAAACTAAGTTGCTGTCTTAGAAGATGAACTTTCCTTCAGAACTTTCACATCATTAGTTGATTCCTCCATCTGAAGGAGGAAATCTTCCATTATTTTATCTAATACTTAGTAGTGCTTACTTTATGCCAGGTACGATTTTAAGTGCTTTAATCACCATAAAATCATGGGGTGGTTGCTATTATTATTATCCACACATTGTAGATAAGGGAAATGAGGCACATAGAGGTTCAATTACTTAACCAAGGTCACAGCTACAAAACTCTAGAGCTGAGATTCAAACCCAGGATGTCTGGATCCAGAAAATTCATGTTTTAATCACTTATGTTTTGTTGCCTTTTAAAGTATTTAGAAACTTTGAGTTCTACCTGGGTGATCTGATTATATGACCTGCTGAAAGGGATACATGCCACATCCCAACTCTCCCTAGGATACCCCAGGTCAAACCTATCTATTCTTCTGACCCTTTGGAGACTGTAATAGAAAAACAAGACACTGCAAGGAAACAAGACCAGGGCTTACTGGATGTGGAGTAATAGTGGGCCCTTTTAACAACTTTTAAGGTTGACATAATACCTCAACATAGCATATCTTTGTAGAAATCTTCTTATTGTTAATTGGAGTCTTCAAAGATTAAAGGACTGATCTTAGTCAGCTGTTGGGTAAAATGTGGCTGATTAATCAGCCAGTGGAAACAGGTTAAGCCAAGGACTGCTGTGGGGATTGAAAGCTGAACCAATTGGCTGAGTTCCGATGTTTTTGAAGTATGTCAAGGTAAGGATGATTTTTTAGCTGTAGAAACATGAGAAGACATGCCTTATCATCTAAATCCATTGACTTTAAATGTGTTTCTTGTTTAGCATTTTTCTCAAGGTTATGTTAAGCTAGATCAGGATTACTTTTTGTAACCCTAGAAGTGGAGTGATTGATGGAACCCTTGTTGATGGGTAAATAGGACACTAAGATTATCTAATGGTCTCTTCTCTTAGAAACTTTCTCCACATGTAAGCAGGTTCTCGGATGTGTATCTAGCTCCCAGCTGGCAAGCTTAGTGAGGACAATTGGTCATTGAACAGAACTGTTGATCTGAGGTTTTCTTGGTGGTTCCATTATTCCTTGGTGGTTCTGAGACTGGATGCACAGTTCTATGTTAGGAACAAATTGTTTATCCTTCCTGTGGTTCCTCATGCATTGTGGATGGGTTATGCCTGGTGAGGGATATGGCATCCTACAGGGCTGCGTGGGCAGTAGACTTTACAGTGTAAGAACAAAACACATCTTTGAGACAAGGAGGCCTGGGCACTGGAAGAGGTTTTCATTACCTATCAGTAATCCTATAGAGATCCACGTTTTCAGTTTGGAAAGATTCTCAAGGAACTCAGCCGTCTGGTCGTGTTATTAACTGACTACCTAAACAGTGAAACACACAATATTACATTAGGTGGTGCGAAGCTGTGTGAAAATCATTCCATAATGGCAGAGATAAATCGAAGTAGTCAGAACTAAAGGTTCTCTTTTGGTGAGGGTGTAACAGTCTGAGTTCATTGCTTATGCAATGTGATTTGGCTGAGCCATATCTTGACCTTGATCTAGAGCTGTGCTGTTCAGTACAGCAGCCACTGGCCACATGTGGCTAAATTTAAATTAATTCAAGTGAAATAAGTAAAAAATTCAGCCCCTTAATCACCCAGGTCCCATTTCAAGTGCTCAAGACTAGTATGGTAGCTAGTTGCTATCATAAAGAACAGTGCAAATCCTGGAATATTTCCATTATTGTAGAATGTTCTCTTGAGCAGCACTGATCTAGAAGATAAACAATAGGTCAACAAAGATATTCTATCAAGAAACACCGTTTTGATAGCTTGATTGACCACACTAGAGAGGTCCTATCTAGTTTTTATTTTCAACCACTACAGATTTTAAATAGAAGGGAAGACAGTAAGAATTTAGATTTTGGTGTGAATTATAAAGCCTAATTTTCTTAGTGAAGACACCTTCTTTCAGGGGATCACTATGGATAATGGTCATGGGCAAGGAGGTGGGAGTAGAGGATGAATGCTCCGAGGTTAGGGCTTTCCCTGAACGAGGAGCGTGTGACCTGATTAGAAGGAAGTGGTTAAAGGTACATCTGATTCTTGCACAAGGGGCAAGTATGGCTGACATTGTGTTTCTGCAACTTCCTTTGATTTCCGACCTTCTTACCTTTCTTTATCTGATTATATTGGTTAAAACCAGTTAGGCATCCTAAGAAGAACACGACTCTTAGCTTCCCTTTCTGGTTTAAGGGATTCTCAATGCCTTCCTCAAAGGGAAAGTAAATGTTTATTAGTCCTGTTTCCCATGCCTCTAAAACCTTAAAAGGAATTAAGGCAAAGGAAATCAAATGAAGGGCAATACTACTTCTCTAACTAGTTCAGAGTGTCCCCAGTGGCTTGTAGCGCGGGAATGTATCTGAATCATTTTCAAGAGTCTGGTAAGATGTTCTTGAAGTAGACTCATGAACTGAGGAAGTGAGAAGCAATGAAGACTGCTCGAGGTCTTCATCTTTTGGGGTAGGGGACAGGATGCCACGGAAAACTGGCCAGAGAATAAAGTGTCCATTGAAATTAGAAAGTAGGTCAAAAGAGAAATGTTAAAAGGAGATCACTATTCAAAGAACAACTAGAAGGATTAAGAACAGGGAAACTGGTAGGTTTTGAGCCAAGAGTTGTCCCTAGTAACTATAACAGAAGCAGTCTTCATGAACTGATGAGAGAAGAGGATGGCTACAGGGATTGAAGAGGGGATTTCCAGGGTGGCATTAAAAATAATAATAAAAATTTAAAAATGGGTACTGGACCTTACTTAGTCTTGGCTATTTCATCATCCTCTCACACAAGTAAAAACTCCAGTATCCAATAAATATCTGTTGAATGAATCCTTGGGAAAGAAAATCACACTGAATGCATAAATTCCTTTATTGAAAATATTGGGCTAGCACTGAATTACATATATTCAATATCCATAAATGAAGGGCCACACATTTCTGATTGGACAATACTGGTTTAAATAGAGAACACAGCATGTGGATATGCTCTCACAAGTAGGTATAATATTATGGACTAAACTAGGTAAGAGTGAAGTATATGCAAAATGACTGCTTTGCTAATAGCATATGGTTGCAAATGGAATAAATGGTAAACGTGATCACCATAAGACATTCCTGGTATCTCACACCAACACATTATTTAATGAGCAGATTCAGGTTAAACTGCTAACATGTTTTTCATCAAGAATTCTCCATAGAGGAACTCAGGGGAAAGCACACCAGGGCTACAGACTTAAGATTTTACAGCATTCATTTAAACTTACATGGAATGTAAGTGGAGTTAAATAACTGTTGATCTGACAAAAGGCCACTTGGCAATTTGTTTGTTCTCTTTTATAAATAGTCTAAATTAAGAGAATAATCTAAAGGAAATATTCTGCCAACTTAAGGCTTACATTCTAAGAATTGTTTTATTTTTCTAAATGCAGTTATGTAAATACTACTTTTGTTATTAATTTTTTCTTTCCGAAATCACTGGGGGTGTAATTTATGACAGACCACTTCTCAGCTTTGGCTATTATTTGAAAATTTTTTACATTAGCAATCTTTGGCTTTCATAAAAGTCTGGCAATCAATAACATTAGTTAAATTTTTAACAAGGCTTTTTTATTATATTTAACAAAACAGTGTTTTATGATGTAAAAATGGGTTCATGTTAAACAGGTTTTATTTTTTATTCCAATTTTGGTATGAATGCATTTCTTTGCATTGTTTTTTCTCAAAAGAGTCTAGAAACCAAGACAATTGGGCTAATTTGATATTTTTCATTTTCATAAAAAGAGGCCTGCTTGTTAGTGTAAAAACTTGGGGGAAATTATGCAAAAACACTATGAAAATAAAGTTTCTGTTACTAGCACAAGTGATTTTATAAGAAGCAAAATATTTTTTATTCAAAAGCAGGGTTTGTTCTAGTCTAGGTTCATAAAGGTATCTGCTTCTGTAAATATCAAGTTATAACTGTGAGAAATGGCTTATTATTCTTTACACAACTATGTTCAGAGTAAGTAACTAAAAATGTACCTTTTTAATGACTAAATGGAAAGCTGGCCTACAACAGTCAAATCAATGAACATTGGTGATGAGTTTTTTAAAGTTCACAATTAAGTGCATATATATATATACACACATACACATACACATATATATATATATGTATATGTATATATATATATGCATGCTGTTTAAGATCTACCACCCTAAATAATCAGGGCAAAAAAAGCTCAATATAAAACATAGCACATTTCTTTATTTCAAGATTTGACACATTAAAAGAAAAAAGACTGGCAACACATTTCAGACAATATACTAGAAATAATAAATAAAACAGTTTTTAAAAAAATCATATACATAATCCCTTTAAGTGCTGTGCACTTTCAATTTTTCTAAATGAGACTAAACTTTCCCATGGCCAACAGGAGTCTGCTGTACATTTTGGTAATGAAAATTATGTTGATAAATACACAAGGCATGTATATATTTCAACAGTATCTTTTTTTCACAGTTAACAAAAATAAAAATTGCATTCAACTCATACATCTATAAATACTCTGATTCCTCACTGTATGGATTTGGAGAGAGTGGGAGTACAAAGTCTTTCAACAATCTGGACTTCAGATCTCTTTCGTCAGTGCCTGCCCTCCACATGCACCTTTTGGGATCTCCCTGCGACGTGATCATGCTCTGAGATGACGGCAGAAAGCAAGCATGACAGGGGGGTGAGGCAGTCCAGGCTGGGGCTTCGTCTGCCAGCCAGCGTTAGGAGGGCTGATCAAACCCTTTCTTTTTAATGTTGTATTTTAAGGCAGCCTGAATTTCACTCGAATGTCCATACCTCGAGGTCCTGAACTATGAAGTCTTCCTTTTTGGAAAGAATATCATTATTGAAAGTGCTGCAGGAATTGCTTCGGCCATGGTATAGATCAGCATCTAGCCATAAACCAAACCGTCCCCTGAAAAAGGTTAAGAAAAGAAGAAAACATTTCTATCTTATGTGGCACACTTTCTCTCCTCCTCTGCCCCATTCTTCTTTCCCTTATGCTACAGACAAAAATCCTAAACTGCTTGTAAAACAAAGGGTATATTTCCTGTATTTCATTTAAATGACCTGGCTTTCCTGAAAGACAGCAGTAGTAGTCTCTCATTTAGACACATAAATAAATCATTTCATCTCTGATCCTTAGTGTCATAGGTTAGGCCACTGTCCTAATTAATGTAAATACACCGACTAGCTAAACTCACCTGACACCAAGGTTTTGGTTACCTGGGTCAAAACGGACCCACTCAGGTCAGGTGGTAAATTAATAACAACAAAAACCTTACCCTCCACCACCAAGTTCTAAAGAACTTATGTCTCCATTGATAAAGTATGAGTTTTCTCCACTCCACTTAAAGACCTGAGGGTAGAAACACAAGACAGAGAACAGACATTTTAATCTGGAGAATCGGCAAAAAGGGAACATTAGAATAGTACCTCTGCAACTACCCAGTGGCAACTACCCAAGCGCCCGACTGCCAGGCCTTTCCCACACCAGGATGAGATCTCCAAAGGGGTTATGAAGTGAGAAAGATCTCTCAGGCCCACGCTCACTCTGACTTGCAATCCCCCCCTGGGCCCCAGACCACGCAGAAGAGCAACCCCCAAGGCCCATGCAGGTACCCTAGCGGTGCTGACCCAGGCCTGAGCGAGTCCAGATGGGGTTACAGGACAGCTGCGGCTCCAACCCCACCCACAGCCCTGCCGCTGCGACCCTGGGAAATCAGATATTTAACCCATCTAAGTACCTTGAAATTGGGACTAAACGTGTAGAGAAAAGTTTCGCCTGTACCATAATAGTGGTCACTGAACTTGAAAGGGTGAGTGGCATATGCTCCAAAAATCTGTTAAAAGAAAACAGAAACATCATCTACTTTCAAACCTAAACCTCCCAAAGAAAGACTTTCTGAAATATTGTAACACAATCCTGAGGTCTCATTATACCTCTTTCTGCAAAGATCACTACTAAACTGGAGCTCTTAACTAAGAGACCACCCACAAAGATACAGCAAATATCCCCAGCTCTAACTGGAATCCAAGTGGCTCAGAGAACTTATTTGTCAAAGGCCAGCAATTGTTTCCATTTTAAAAGACTTCCAAAGTCCACCAGGGAGAAATGTCCTTTAGTGACTACAGACAACATAATGGGAACATTAAACAAGAAGCATCTTGCACACAGAAATGAGTGGTGGAGAGAATAAAGCCCAATCTTCTTTTGTTGTTTTATAAGTGCAACTATAGCCAGACATTTTCCCAGAGAAAACAAATTTTTCTCTTTTGATTTGTGAAAATGAGTTCTCAATATGCTTATTAAAACTCTATCCTTAACATGACTGATCTAATATGTCTTGTTCGAATTGGCTTTTAAGAAAAAAACACAAAACAATTCCATATACTATGGGCTTTAATGGTAACTTAGATGTATTGGAATCAATGATTTTCTATTTTTTCTTGTTGGGGGTTGGAAGGAGCAGCATTTTTACAAGATGCATGTCTGCTGCCTCAGCTTCCTCTGCTTCTGCTCAGATCCTGATCAGTACTGTAGGAGTGAGGGCTGGCGAGAGTAAGCATATATATTTTGAAAATGTCCCTAGATAATTCTGATAGACCTTTTACTCCAAATCCCTATTGAGAAACACTGCTTTAAAGGGAGGTTATCTGAAAAATGCCGCAACTTTTCAAAATTATTTTAATTGAATTATAACCATTGTGGAATCTCTTCTTTACCAATCAGATTCAGTTCCTGGCTCCTTGAAATACTAAAAGTTAGAGTAGAAGTCTAGAAATACTTTCTGACCATTATTCTTCATACTTCCTGCTCCCAAAGCTTCCCACATTGCTGGTAAGAATAAACAGAAATAAAACTGTAACAAAAACGTCAAAAATCCATTTCCCTTCTTCTGGTGATTTCCAGTAAAAGAACTAAAATACAATCGAGCAAGGTATCTATTTTTAAAAGCTTGTGCTGAAACATAACAAGAAGGGTAATGACCATACATGGAAGAAAGTGGACCCCCTTCTGATCAATGAACAGGAAAAGGCATGCTTACTCTTTCACCCACCACAAGTCTACATAATTACATTCTTTCTTTCCTAAATTTTTCTTAGTAATCATGGAAATCTGTTTGAGGACTGGGGATTGGAAGATACTAGGGAATTGTTAATTATGTAAAAAAAATGTCCATTTTATTTTTTTCTATTAACTTTTTGAAAGCAATTGTGTAATATGCATAGAATAGTATTGTTGGGTCTACAACATAAAAATTTAACACATTTGGCAATGACAGGACAAACGAATCTGTGAGAATAAATGAAGACAACCAGAAGTGGTAAAAGGAAGGTTAATATAACAAAACCAATAAATGCATATTTGCTCTCCCTTTAGCTTCTCTGATAGATAAAAAATTATATCAAGTAGTCATCATAACAATTTATTGTGGGTTTGTAATATAAATCAATGTAACCTATATAAAAAAATTATCACAAAGAGTGGAATGATATAATAGAGCAATAAAGGATTAACATTTCTGTATCTCACTAAAAGTAAGTATAAATCAGACTCTTAATTGCATGATAATTGCTCTTTGTTTTCCACACCGCCTTGTGGTATAAATTACTCCACAGTCTGGTTCGATTAAATTTGGGCCCCTTTGCAGGGGTAGTTTCTTTGGTCAGTCTATCCTGACTCCTGGAAGGCCACCCTTAGGTGCCTTCTGCTTCTCTCTGGGAAACTAGATGGTCTGCCATTTCGCTTGTTGCCTTTATGGAGCTACCAGCCTCCTCATAATTATCACCAAAATCTGCACTATTTCTAGAGTGCTCTTTTGGCTTGAACTTCCCCCTACCCTTCTAAATAAAGGCAGTTCCTTTGAGGAGAGCTTCAGAGCTCGGTATCTTATGGTCTGTCTTTTCCCCGGGAGCTTGGAGCTAGAGACTCTGCTCCGGAGCTGGGGGCTGGACAGTGGCCTGCTTCTTTCAGATGAATAATCTTGTTTTATTAGCAGGATGCTGGGCAGGTAGAAGCTGGTCTTGGCTCACCTCACCTGCCTACAGGCTGTGACAAGGGCATGCCTAAGGTACAGCATCTGCTCTGCGTAGGGGTGGGGTGGGGGAAGAAAGCCTTTGCCTCTAGGCCACACTAACATGAAATTCAGCTTCTGAAACAGTGATCTCGGGCAGTGGATGAGAAGTGCTGGGGACCTGCCCCCTGTATCATAACCCTGGGAGCTGGGGGGGAGGGAGCCCCATCTTCTTGTCTATCAGTCTGAACTGGGGGTGAGTGGAGGGAGCAGGCTGTACTTCAAGTGCCACAGAATCTCACATTACTACAAGAGATTTATTATATTTTCTTGAATAAATGATTCTTCACTTGGATGCCCTTAGGACAATTTCCAGAGACTTTAAATTATTATTTTTATAATTTCCACCAGTATGTTTGTTTCACTGGGAATTGAATCTGCAGAGCTCCTTATTGCTGCCATTCGGCATATGTAATATTTTTATATTAAAATTTTATATAATTCATTTTCAGGTAAATTTATAAGTGTTGCTCTACCATGTTCTCAAACACAGCAATGCCACATTTGCCTCAGGGGTAGATGGGATGGGGCAAGAAAGTTAGTGTTTAGGTGTCTACAAATAATACCAGCAACCTGAGGGTACCAGATTTGGTAAGACCCATCCCTGACAAATAGTGTAACCTTCGGGTATAGGCCTTCTTTACATATCTGCTAACAGGAAGCTGGGTGAAACTGTGCTTCATCAATACCTGCCCTACGCGGCCAACACATTCCCCAACAAGTTGTCTACGGTGAGGATTTGTGTATGTGGTCTAAAACCATCTAACCACATCACATCTAAAACATCGCACCCAACTTTTCAAATATTCCACTAAATCCCTAGGTAGTTCTACTTGAAACCTCTGTTGTTATTATTTTAACTTTTATTTTGCCTCTACCCACCATTTAGTTGGATCATGATTAAATGTCATCAATTAGGAAATAACAGTAGTAGCAATGACAACAGCTAAACTACTCCCTAGAACACTTAAGCTACAATGAAGTCACAGGAAAGAACACGGTTGAGAAAGAATGCCCCAGTACCCATTTCTCTGCTAATTTTCCCCAAGGCAAATAATGACAGCAAAGATCTATCTTCCCTAAAATGATCCCAATTATATAGCTTCACAGCAAGCTCTTCAATGCTTTAATAGTGTTCCATATGTAACAGGCACCCATTATATATTTTCTGAATGAATGAATGAATAAGTGAATGAATGGCTGCTGAGTAAAACTTGCTTGAATACCAGAAAGAGAAAATGGCATCTACAACTTAAAATGTAAAGGGATTTCTTCTTGATATAATGCAGACAAAACAGAAATAAAGAACAGACTTGAAAGATGCCTTCCTTTTGTGAAGCAGGAACCTGACTGGGTAGTATATAAAATATTCCAGGAAAGATTCTACTTGCATGCCAAGCTGATTAAGGTGAGGAGTACTAGTTTTGGGTAGATGGGGGAAATAGCTAGATTTCACCAGTGCCTCCAAGACCGACGCAACAGAGGTAAAGTGTAATGAGCCACGGTACAGAGAATTCTCCCTGCTGCTGCATAGTAATTGCGCCCTTCCAGCACAACACACCATGGCCTGTGGGCTCTCCATCTCAGCAACCATGCAGGCAAGGTTTGCGGGCACTACCTCAGCTACCTGGATAAAGTTCTGGTGCAGCTCTGGAATTTCTTTCTGTAGTTACCCCCAATTTGATACTTGACTTTTCTCCAACTTCTCCAGCTGTAGGTTGTAGAATATTATCATAGCTTTCTACAGTATGGTAAGTACATACAAAAACATTCCTTAGAGTGTGACTGTATTTGGAGATATGCTCCATTTTCTTTTTTAGAGATGCATTCTGAAGTATGACATAGTAATCGGGATTTATTTCAGCAAAGGAAAACCAACAAAGAAAAGGCAGATGAAGCTTATGTGGCAAAATCCTGCTAACTTGTGGGATCTGGGTGATGGGAGTTCACTGTATTCGTCTCTCTACTGTTGTGTAGGTTTGAAAATCTTTACTATAAAAATGTTTTCTAAGAGAGGAGCAAACCTCACCTGATTATCCATATCTTTGATAACCAACAGGACAGGACTGTCTAGCGACGCTGATTTCCGATAGAGAGTTTTCAAGCTGGTCCCGTGCTCCAATGTGCTATATGCGAGTCTCCACGGATACCCTTGTACCCTGGCTGGAAGGCGTCTGGCCAGCTGCGAATCCAAAGATGAACATGTAAATACACAGTTCACACATAAATCACTCACGAACTTGCAGAACAAAGTATGAGCCTGTGGATCAAACTTAAAATTACACTGATTTACATACTGTCCCTTTACTCTGGCGAATGTTTGCCACTATAAACCAAGGAAGAGAAGGGAAAATCATTCCTTGGTGGTGTTTACCTTGGCAGGACGCCTCCCCCTCCCTGAGCACGCTTTTACCCTTGGGGACCTGACTGTGGGGTCACTGTGCCATTATCCATTGGGAGATAGCACCTAGCTTGATAAAGGAGTATGAATTAGACACACGCTCTCCCTTTTTACACTTCAACCTAGCTTTCACCAAACAATTTATGTTTCTCCAATTGTTCTTTCTAAACCCTCAAAGGCTCAGCACTGCTACTGACAACTGCAGCTTCCCACAGAAGTGTCAACAAGAAAACACAGTGTTTTATGCTATTAGTCAGATGTAGTCTGCCCGCATTGCACCCGAATCTTTCACTACATTTATATTTAGCTTGAACTTGACTGACACAAATACCAATAGTGCATATCTCTTCAAAAACACTAACAAATGAGGCTATGAAGTGCTGAAGTCTTCAGCATGCAGAACATCTGCTCTAGTATCAGAATAAACCCCATTTCTGTAACTGTTTGGTCTAATCACTTGGCTTTCCTGGGCCTTTGTAGACTTATCTGTAAATTGAGGGAGTTAAACTTAATGATTCATTAAGGTCTCTGAAATTCAGGTCTAAGGCAACTGATGGGGAGGTGGAAGAGATTACTGACTAAAGGTCAAACGCAATCACATTATATACTATTTCATAAACAGGAAGTAACATATTTTCAGAAAACATAAAGCACACAAGGAAAACTACAGAACAAGGAATATTCTTCCTACTGGTAGGCAGTTTTCATAAAGCAAATAAAGTATATTTGCTGTATGATTTTTATTGAATCTGATAAATTAAAAACGCTGGAACTCTGCAGTAATCACTAGGATAAAATTGGATCTTAAGTATGTTAGCACTATAACAGGACACTTTAAAAACTGTTTTGAGGCCCTGCCCAGTAGCTCAGTTGTTTACAGCGTTGTCCTGACACTAAGGTTGCGGGTTTGATACCCGGTCAGGGCACATACAAGAATCAACCAATGAATGCACAAATGAGTGGAACGACAAATTGTTGTTTCTCTCTCCCTCTCTCCCTCCCTTTCTCTCTCTCAAATCAATTCTAAAGATTGTTTTAAAAACAAGAAATGGCATTTTGCTCAGGTTTGAGAGATGGATGTGGTGTCTAGCCAAGTCCTCACACTCCCAAGAAGGCAGCAGGGATGCTTCCACAGCCTTTTGGAAGCAGGGAAAGGGATGCTGGCCTTGGTTAGCTGCTGACCTTCCTCTAAAACCTGGCTATCTTTCACCTGGAGCGAGATGAGCAAATGTGGTCAGGGTGGGGAAGTGCTTCTGAAGGCTAGAGACCCCCATCCTGAGTCCCCAGGGAGGACACCTGCTCAATGTGCATGTTCTCCAGGAGCGCGCTGTGGGGCTGCAGAACCGGCAGGCCAGTCTCCTCGTCATCTTCATAGTAGCTGCACGTGCTTTTCCTGCGCTTTGCCTCCTCGACAGTGATGATCTGAAATACAGAAGATGAATAAGCCCCCAAGCCCCCGGTGTATCTGCTTTACCTTTGCCTGCTAAAACCAACCTCAGGTACGCGGTATCCTGCAACAGGCAGAGTTTTAGCAGCAGGACATAAATTGAACAGGGACTTTGGGGAATGGCTAACTTTTCAGTTTCAGAACAAATGCAGAATTTAACACGGTACAGCTGAGGCACTTAATATGTACAAATTAAAGTCCTTTACTACTGCTCTCAACTGCTCAGTCCTCGAGCAAGAACTATGCATAACTCTACAGCCACTTATACCCTTGAAATGCCCTTAATTAGTCTCCTTGAGCCTGCATCTAAGTTTGAATTAAGGGACTGATCAGAGATCATTCTATTTGAAAGTCTTCTATAAATAGGGATATTGGGAAGACAGTGGGGGTTTTTAATTAAGACTCTTAATGCTCTCTCTTAAGACTGTGCACGTAGCAACCAACCCTGATAGAAATGACGAATGACAACAGCTACCAGAGTAACAATCCAAAGAAACACACATGTAGTTTAAATTACAATTAGGTTATGATTCTTTATGTACAGTTCAGAAACTACCAAAGCAGTTTTTCCTTCGAAACTGAGAAACATGATGTTGTACACAACATTACTTATTTCATTGTAACTATGCTTGTGAACTACCAAAGTAAATTTCACCTTAAAATCTATTCCCGCTCCCCCTCCTAAAGTCTGGATAAATCACTGAATTATTTTGAAACTGAAGATACAGATAAAGTGACTAATTTGCTAAAAGTCCTGGGTACCAGTATTAATGACTTCTGCATGAGAGAGGAAAACATTTAAGTAAGTTATCTACAGTAAAAGTTGTCAGATAATGCACCACTCGATTTCCAAAATGCTCAGTCACAAATATAAAGTACCTGCTGTCACCTGAGCCAGATTTACAGTTAAGAAAATTTAGCTAATACACTTTATCACCTTCTCAAGGGGAAATTCTTAAAGAAAACACTATCAAAGAATCACAAATCCAGCATTTTCAATGTATTAAATGAAGCAGTTATTTTTTGTGAACTCTACAGTTAATACAGGTTCAAAATGAGGCTATGGAAAGAAAAAAATCAAATGTGGATATTTTGACTCCAAAGAGGGGGCCAAACCACACCATACCCATCTTTCAAATGAATAAAATACCTGCTGAGGCTAAAATGCCAGCACAATCCTTTCTAATTAAGAAAGCATTTCCAAACACACTGAGTGGTAGATCTCTGAGGACTCAGAGGCACCAAATCAACTCTCAGGGACTCCCACATACCTTCACAAAGGGTTCTTGGTTAGGTCTGGCACAATACAAAATCTGAATGTCCAAGGGCAATCTTCGGACTCTCATGGTGACGGGGCACGAAGCGCCTGCTTGCTTCCTAACGAGGAACAGGTTTTTCTCTATCCGCCTCCACACCAGGGTTACTTGTAACCACGCTGAGCTACAACTGTTTCTTCAGTATCTAGTTTCCTGCATGACTAGGTTTCTGTTTCCCTTAGGAGAGGGTTCAACATTTCTCCAGGAACACGCCCAAATTAGGATTTAGAGCAAACACACACTTCCTGCCAGGCAGAGCTGCGAGGCTGTAAACTGACACTTGCACCTTCCAAACGGTGGTTTCCTAACTGTACTACAAACTGCATTGTTTGCTTTTCTTTTTCTTCTTATACTCCCCC